CAAGTAAGCCCATCTTAAAGGTTCTAGGAGACCCGCCCTCCCCACTTAAAAAAATAAATGCACAACCCTACACCTCTCAATCAAGAAAGGTGAGCTGCACATGCGCAGAAAAAGATGTGTGAGTTTATTACACTAATATTACCGGCCTGTTGCGTGTCAGAACTAATGCTTTCCTCAGAAGTTTAACTAATTAGGACAGTTCGTCTGTCAGGATATAAAGTTATCTTCATTCTGCATGTGGCAAAGATTTAAGAATGAGAGCGAAGTCCTTGGTCTAAGAGCAAAGTTTTAAATTTCGATAAGCTGGAGCCATGGATGTCTCCTCATTTACAATTGTGTATGATCTACATTTTATCCCCACTTTCATCTTTTCTTTTTTCCTGTTTTACCTCTCCTGTTCGACATTGCAGTGTCCATGTAATCTCTACTCCCTGCATGATTTATAATAAAGCTATTTATATGCAGAAATCAAGCGGAAAACTATGGCGAAAACCATACTGCACCACTTGTGAAAGCAAAATCTGTTGGGCTCTTTTTGGCATCACAACAGTTATTCTTATTGCCACATTGCCAGATGGGACACTAAAAAAACCAAAAAAACAAACAAATGTATATGATGTAACGATGCAATGTTGCAGCAGACTGGACATGTATAAAATGATTTGTGGCCGCTTCATGAGAAGTGAGCCCGGTTGGTAAGCAGCTGCCTTCTGTAACCCTAAGAAACTTCTCTGATCTGAGATTATAATTTCTATTAAAATCTGTTGTAATTTTTCATGGTTATTTAATACATATACATTATAAAATGTTAATGAGTTTGTCCCAAGTGATCTCTTTCAGGAAAAAGAACCGGAGAGAGAAAGCCTCAAGATATAAACAAAGAGTTTCCTTTAATAGTGAAAATATCACCAGAATGATTGACCATTAGGTGGAACACTTAGATGATCCACCTGGAAATAAAATATATACCTTCAATATTTTAGCAGGGTTGTTTAAATGTTTCAGAGCCGTTGTTCTGTAACCCCTCATTGCTTTAGAAGAAAGTTTTTGAGCCACCCCCTTCAACAGATAAGATCTCCTTGGAATCACAAAACATCCATATTTAAAGTATAATCATTTTTTAGATTAATTTTGCTGTGTAACAGAATTAAACAACGCTAATCATACATTTAAAAATATATATATAGCTCAAAATGGGTTACTTATTCAAGTAATTTATACCACAGCTGCCTGCAGTGACACTGGACTCCCCCAGGTGGCATGCCTCCCACAGGTGGCATGCCTCCCACTGTGAACCACTGCTTTAAAACATTCTGCTGATAACAGTCTATGCAGGTGTCTTAGTGAATGTACTAGTTGGGTTAGAGAACTTTTGAGTTTTATTTTATTCAGATGAAAAAAATCTGAAAGTTTTGATCTTCCTTCATCTAAAACTGGTGAATGCAGGCGATGCTTCAGTAAACTGATTCAATTACTGCTTTGTCCTCCATTATTAGCCAGACTGCTGCCCTCTAGCTCTCAATTCAGTTATGCAAATCTGATATCAAAGCCGGCATCCTGCTTATTAAATAAATGGGTCATAACATGCGTCAGAAAACTGCTGCTGCAGTTCCATCTGATCCCAGTTAGCCATCAGGATGCTGCTCACATTTCCTCTCTAACAGGAGCAAACTGCTCATTTTCTCTAAAGCTATCCAAACGGGCCCAACTGCAAACATTTGATCAACTTAATCACCAATCAAACACTTTGAGCTGATCAATAGCACCATTTGAATGACTGGACTGATTTAGAGTGGCCAATAAGTGCTTTATCAGATCATCTCCAGGATTAGTTAAAAGACAACACGGTGTCAGCAGACAGGGAGCATGCTGGGATGTTTGGAGGAGCACCAAGCAAAGGAAAAGCTTCAGTGGCAGAGAGACTGGATAGCAATGAGCATAGTGGGTGGAATGGGAAGAGTGGGGACGGCTTCATGACAAAGACTGGCTCTGGCACCACAGCATTGTCTTCACATCAGAACAATGACAGCATTTAACTAGTTAACTACTGGAGTAGAAAGATTTTTACCAGTGTTTAATGAAAAAAGAAAATCTGTTCTACCCAGTGAACAGTTAAGCCTTTTAATTTGTAGAAATATGAAAGCTGAAAATGCTGCTCCATCACTTAAAGCTCTGTTTTGAAGACAATTGCTGAAAGTTTGAGGGGAAACTGATTTTTTTAAATGTTCCACGTAGAGAAAACCCGAGATGCTCCTCACCACCTCCAATATACGCTTGGTACCATCCCTGATGTAGTTAGCATCCTTCCTCCAAGCTGCAGAGCTGAAAGGATCAGTAGGTGGTTTAATTAAAGCTAGCTGCATAAAATGTCATTTATACACCAAGCAGATTCTCCTCCAACTTTAAGGTAGATGGAGATATTTGTGAAAGCTTGTGATGCTTTATATTCTCAGTTTTGCTGGTTGTCATGGCCAATCTTTGAAAGTATTTAGAATCTTAAAGGGTACCAAAAAACCTAGTGGAATATTTACCGTAAATCTATAATAAAAGTGCACGGAAATAATCGCAACTGCTAAAAAATTGACCTGAGACCTCAGGGTGAGTTGAGTAGTTTTTAATTTTTATTTTTTTAATGGTACTCCATTCCACTATCCATTTTGACATTAACAACTGTTGCAATGAGGAAAAAATTAGATTATTCTCTTTAGCCTTCCAGTAGACACCTAAAGGTTTTAGGCCATACTTAAAACAGTTTATAAATATACCCTAAGGAATGCCTGTGAAATTTAATGTCCTCTAGTTCATGTTGACCACAAAACAAGCTTAACGTAGAGCTCAGTTCTTCTGAAGAAAGTCTTTCAGGATTCTTTCTCAATTGTTTGGTCCTGCACCATTTTAAGCACTTTCCAAGTCAGATGCAAATCAATGACTCAACAGTTGCCTGACTGGGTTGTTATTCTGTTTTTGTCTTTTGTATGGGTCATGTGTTTGGCCCTTTGAATCATGAGTAATTTGTTTGGAATGAGTTCTGGGAGCAAGTTGTAAATGCTTGGAAGCTGAATCCTTCTCTGCAGAAAGATCTCATCTTAAACATGAACGTTACTTTGCTCAAAGATTTCTTTTTCTCACCATTTTATTATGGGTCATTTTAATCTCCTACAATTTCACCTTTTCTGGTAATAACCAAGGTTTGCTGCTGTTGATACCCCACTAGTTTCTGTTTTAGCTCCTTCGATTTTGGAGAAATGGTCTACATGTCAGTTTCCTCCTTTTCTCCCACTGATGGGTTTCTTCATGCAGACTCAAACTTTTTGCTTTCTTCTCCTGACTCATACCTTCGTACAATGAGTCAGATCATTTTCAATGCCTCTGGAAATTTTGGCATTTGCTAAAGGTTAAGAATAAGCAAATGCCAGTAAAATCCAAACTTTTTCAGGTTAAACAGACTCCATATAACTAGTGAGCTGGAATAAATGCAGTTCAACAATTATTAAATATGTGCTGTATTCAACCAGCTTGTTGAATAATTTTTTTTCCTCCAGTAGAATTATTGAGAATGTCAGCATTTTGCACATCACAGACACCTACCATGCTTAAATGTAGCTTTTTTGTAGGATTGGATACAATTCAGACAAAAAAATAATAAAAAATGTCCTAAAAATGTCAGAGGGTAACTTGTTCCTTCATTATACCTTAAACACTTTAACTATGAGGCCTCCTTACTACTCAGTCTTCTGGGGTTCAAACCAGCAAAAAGTTGTAATTTACCTGAAATTAGCTCTGTTTGTGTTAGCTAACTTTTCATTACTTCTTCATATTTACGTCCTTCTGCTAAAATAATATTTTGTACAGGGGTTGGAGATTCCTGAATCAGTCTAAATGAAGGTGTTTTGTATGTTCTAAAAATGTATCTGCTTTTAACATCTGATTCAGATAATTGTTGCTCAACAAAAGCCTGTTAATGAGCCTTCATCAGGTGTGTAGTAGCAGGAATACAGGCAGCGCTATAAGGGAACCACCTCACGGTGGGGGCCTTGGCAGCCGCAAGTAGGCGCCAACGGCAGCATTCTGAGGCATGCATGGTTCAGTAAATCATTCCCCTCTCCAGCCCCACCTCCCAATGTATGCGATGAACGGTTTGTTCTGAAACTGAAATCTCGATGACAATGCAAATTGTAGTTGACAAAGAAATTGAATAAGTCAGAAAAAATAACCATGCAGTACATTGGTTAACTTGCCCTGCAGAACTCTGTTCTACTGGGTTATCATTGAGCAAAGAAAGTCCTGATTAACTGAGGACTGTGTGGGATAATGGGAACATGAGGCTCAAACTGGTCGAGAGCTGCAAAGAAGCAAACACCAACACTGAATAAGGATTGGTTTTCCTTGCAAAACAATCTATTGTATTTTTGAATGCGTCTGTAACCAGAAGGGTTGTGTGCCTGAGGCCTTGGTCCCAAAGATACAGAGGTCTGGCTAAAAATTAAACTTTTGAGAAAAATGATGCATGTTAGACACGAGACCAGCACCAGAAGAATACCAGATGGTGATGTAATCTGGATGAAACTATTATATTTCGGACTAAAAAAAAAAAAGAACAGCTTTACTTCTAAATGAAAATAAAGGGTGGATTTTATTGTGCAGCACCGCATGAAGTCCAGATATACATCTAACCTGTCTCCTTCTCCAGGCCTCAAGAATAAAAATCTGCAGTCCTTTAAAAGAGCAGCTTGTGACCAAACCTGATGGCTGCTGAAGAGTTGATCATTTGATTGAGCTGTGTTGAAGCAAGAATGTACCTAAATAATGTCAGACCCCTGATCTAAGTCAACAACAAAAAAAAAAGTCTTTTTTCTTCTTCTTTTCTATTAACAGGTTTGATAATTACCAAGGGGACACTAATGAATTTTATCAGAGGACCGAATGCTGGAACTAAAAGCTGTTTTCATAACACAAGAAACTAAACCTAACAGGGAAAACGAATAAAAAAATAAAAACGATTTGACTTTCTCAGTTTATTTTTTATTTTTTCTTTAACAGACATTGGTACATTAACACAGCGAGGCTGATAAAGAGCCACTGCTGGCAAAGATGCAGAGTTACGGTACAGTTTACATTATTGCATTACATGATTACATCTTGCATGTGAAAATACATAGTAATCCAATAAAAGGGAGGAGGAGGCAGTGTAATGGAGGGGAGTACGCAGAGGCAACAAGGAGAGAACTTTTACGTTATTGTACAATTAATTTCATCAAACCACTTCCTGTTGACCGTTCAAGACAATTTAAACATTAAATTCATTTATCATTCTGCTATAAAGGAAAACACCTTCCTGCTTCACTGTAAACAGTAGAAAAATATGTAACCTCTTTTAAACTGGCATTTATCCCGCAGTCAGGGCGTGCATTAACACTGAATAAGTGACTTAGACTGACTGCATCATATAAGTTGGTCACTGAAGCTGTTAAATGTTTTGGACGGCGTTGGTACTGAAACAGCCACTTCGCTCTTTGCAGAGCGCCTTTGTTTTTCTGATGCATGCAGCACACAGGGGCCAGCAGGAGTATTTTTGAACAGGGGCATGTGTGAGCATGAATATTTCATCTGTACTTGAATGGGTTTTTATCTCAGGGGGTGTGCTGCAGAGGACTCGCGGAGTTCGTCCTTATATTTCACTTGTTTATGCAAACACACACACGCATCAGAAGTATAAAGACAAGCACCCCCGCCAACAGGAGCCTCCAGAGGTCTCCTATTAGCCCAGCTAATTTCACATCATTTGACTGACAATTTATCCATAGGGAGCGGGAGAAAACGAATCCAAAAAAAAGTGACCCCATTAAAGTGACGTGCTGTAATCCCATTTAAAACTAAGCATTAAAAATCCCCATAAAAACTGCTCATCACTCTCTGGCCATGAGACCTCGACCGTTAGGACAGGAGGGGTTTTCGCTGGTTCTCCTGATTTCTAAAGAATATTGCAGATTTTATTTGGGACAATATAAAGAGAAAACCCCAATGCTATTACTGATACAGTAACAGAACATTATTTTGGATTGTGTCCAGTGAATAACCATCCTTACAGTGTTTGTTTTGTTCTAACGTGTTATCTTTAAAGAAGGTGAGAGTTAAACGCTTGCTGTGATAACATTCCCAGAATGCGGCGTGACTAAGGTCAAGGATTCATATTCTGGTCAAAAATGAATATAAAAGAATGTGTTTTGATTTTGCAATATTTGGTAATACTTCCACAGAGAGCCCTGCTAATTACAAACACTAGTAGTCAGTTGAATCTAGTCACTATAAATACAGTGTCGGATGAACACCGCTGGCCTGGAAAATGTGCTATTTAATTTCAAGTAGGTGTTCTACAACCCTGTTAGTGTTCCACATGGTTAGCTCGATGTATTACATCACATTTAAGACTATGCAGTGGAATGTATCATGGTTTATATATAAAACACTCCTGAAAGCTTCAGTAAGGTTAGTTTCTACAATGAGACGGAGGAAGATGCCATTGTTTCACCTCCTGTGGTCTCTACATCCATCAGGTGTCAGGAAATACACAGAGCTGTGTTGATGCTGATATGTACATACGAGGGCCTGCTCTACCTCCACCTCTAACAGCTATTTCTACTATTACATTGTCTACATCTTGCTGCCCCTCCTCCCTTCAACCTCCACTCCTCGCTTTCTCTACTCCTCGATTTCCAGGATCAGGTCATCTCCCTCCAGGGAGGTGTCTGGCTCCACATGGACAGCCTTAACGGTCCCGCTCATGGGGGAGTTGACCACCGTCTCCATCTTCATGGCCGACAGGACGCAGAGAGGCTGACCCTTCTCCACCTGCAGCGGACAGAAGGACGGGTTGAAGCAACAGAGCTTCTCCAAGTTACATTAAAGACCTCCAGGTGCATCTTGATGAATCAGTATCACCACAAACACAATATAAATGATTGTTATAATGAAAAAATAAAAAAACCTAATCATAATCCAGTACACGAGAGATTATCCAAGACCCTCACAATTATGGCAGCTCCTCAATCACAATGAGGTCAGAACAGCTTCCTGGTCAATTAAACTTGTCAAGTCCAATTTTGTGCAATTAGAAATTTTCATTCAAGGAGGAAATGTTCTGCAGGTATTTTCTTTATATGGGGTAGAAGCTTAGACTCTAAAAGGAAAATCAAGATCTTACAAGTTTATCCACATTAAAGCATTAGAGCACATGTTAATGTTGGATTTTGAGATTATAATCTTCTGCAGATTGATTGGTGCATTTAGAGTTGAATAATTCCTGATTAAATTATTAAAAGTTTAAAGATGCAATTTCATACTAATCTACTAAACCGATGCCTTCATATTCAAGACAGGAATGGTAGTTTTGTAGTGAGAAAACAAAATAAAGATTGGTTCAGCAACACCCTGGAGAATGTCAGAGTTATATTGAAATGGATCAGCATGTCAGGAGTGGTGGAGCAGAAATCCTGACATAACGGCACAAACTGAGGTTTCAAGTCTCTGAAGCTCTGAGTTGGTTTGACGCCACAGCGGTTCCTGATCTGTGAGTGATATCTCTGAAAGAGCCGCTGCATCAGAAGCAGCCCGGCTGTATAAATCTCAGAGCGGTGAAGGTTCAGAAACTGATTTGAGTGATGAACTGAAGACCAAGGTTAAGAAAAAGAAAGGTTGGCTTCAGCTGTTAAACTGACCTTGGATCCGACTTTAACTTTGACCTCCAATACTTTCCCAGGCATCGGCGCTCCCACCTGACCCTTGATGGACTTCTGAGCCTTGGGGTGGAACTTCATTTCCTAGAAAAGGAATTAAAAATGTGATTTATCTATTCACACACATCTGCCTCCGTTTATCCTTTCAACCAAACAGTTCGTTCAGCTGGATGGACAAACATTCCTGCTGCGCCTCCATCCATGCTTCACATGAATTAGTTTCCATGGATAAAAATTAGTGATTCCCTGTCACTTTTTTTATATGCTATGGCTTCAGAATAAAGACCCCCCCCCCCCCATCTATTAACAGTTTACCCACTGATCTATTCATCTCTCAACCATCTCGTCTATCAGACATCCCTCATTTATCCGTCCGCCGACCCCAGCCTTCCATCAGTGCCTCCATAAACCCACTGAACTACCCCAGCGGTATATCATGCCCCCTCCCTCCATTTTTTCCCCATACCTTCATGGCCACGGTGTCTTTAACTAGCACGGATCTCAGCTGGCCGTTCATCTCGAAGAACACCTCCCTCTGGCCGGCCTTGTTCAGGTCGCCCAGTGCCAGGGCCTTGATGTGGAGGGTCTTTCCTCTCTCCAGCTCCACCTGAGGGGGAAACACATCAGCAGGATGGAAACACATGGGAGAGGAGACAAATCAGATCATGTTAGAGAAGTGGAATGAATGCAAAGCTGCAAAGTCCACCTGAAGCAGTAAAAGCAGATTGCAGAGTCTGCTGGAAATAAATGAAAAAAAAAAAAGAAGCTAGCAATATAAGACAAGAACAACGTCTCCCCTTGGTGCCGTTTTTACTGGACACGCGTTTCTCAGTAATAAATTCTGCTGAAGCAGTTGCACCTTTTGTGCTGTATTCTGTATTTTACTGTACAGTAAAACACAGTCACTAAAATTCAATCTTTATAAACCTGAAGTCCAGCTTAGATTCAAGCCATCTTTACTAAGTTTTGAAAAAAATATCCAACCTAATAGTTTTAATTTTGATATAATTTATATATTTTCATGTTTTCTTTGTGATTAACAGAGAAATCAAATCTATGGGCTCACTTGAAATCTTCCCTCTATCTTCTTAGCACTTTAGCCATTTTAATGTCAGTAAATATTTATGAGGAAAATAATTTTTCTCCAGTTGAGACAGGATTGTAGCTCTTTGAGGCTGCTAGAGAGCGTGACTTTAACCTGATAACAGGAAGGCCATAAAAAGTGCATGGAGTGTTTAACCTTTAAGGAAAATATTGGAATTGGAAATGTGGTACATGTAAATATTAAAGATCAACATTCAAGTATATATAAATGGAAACTGAAGTCAGTAATGCTAGCTGCCTTCCTAGCCAACTACTAAGGCGAAATGCTGAAGCCGGATTTAAATGTCAAGTATTCTTTTTTCTATGTTTATAGTTTTCACTTTAAAAATAAAAACAGATTTGAGCAAGTTAGTTTCTTCTAAAAAACAAAGTAAAACACTGAAATGTGTGGAAACAATCCTTTTGCTTCACGTCAGATCTGTAAAATACCAGAGATAGATTTCTTTTATCCAAGACTGCGTAACAACCCTGACTCGAGGACTTCCATCATTTTGATGCCACCACAAAAATAAAGTGATTTATTGTCCGACAGCACAGTTTATGCTCTCTTTGTGGGAATGTTGATCTGTATGCAGGAGGCGTAAGGCTACACAGTGGTATTAGCATATCTGCAGCTGGGCTACAGCACCACCCTGGTTAGTCATCATCAAAAACACTACACGATTTCAGGACGTTAAAAAAAAGATCAAACCAGACAGACAGATTAGCCTTCGCAGTAGGACATCATGTCGAGTGCTGCTGTGGGTGTTAGGCCACCGTTTTCATTTGGAAGTGCTCATTTCTGGCACTGGACTGTTAACGACAAACTATTTCCAAAACCTTCCCTTTTGTGAAATAGTTCTAGCTCGTTACATCTAAACTAAAGCAAGATCCCCTTTTTTTTAGGTAGCAAAGACCGTACATGCTGTATGATTTAAGAGCTTCAGCTGCACCTAGAGCACTGTCATCACACACAGAAAACCCCCAATTCACAACATGTCATTTTAAGGTACTTTACAAAGTGAATTCAATCAAACACAAAAAGACCGGTTCAGGTTGCTATCCAAGGAAACCGCATAATGCATTGTGTTGTTGACTGCAGCAATCTCTCCTTCAGAACATGCATGTAGTGACAGTGAAGAGAAAACCTCCCTTTTAACAGGATGAAACCTCCAGCAGACCCAGGCTCAGTGTGATTGGCCTTCTGAAAAGTTGTTTTTATTAAACTTTTATTTATATATCTCTATATACAGATCGAGTACGTCTCCAACAGACCTGTAACAAATGAGTGATCTGCCGATCAAGATCTGCTGATGAGAAAATGTTTTTTTATTCAAATGTGTTGAAGGGATGCCCTGTATACGTTGCAGGATAGCAGTTCTTTAGGCATTCAGACTGAGTGCTGGTTTTTAAGAATCATAATGTGGAAGCCTCAGCAGTCAATTAGTCAGTAGCTGCATTTCCATTACAAATATGCACAAAATTGTATCAATATTCTGCTGTTTTTCAAAAAAACAATTTTCGCAATTGTGGTATTTTCATAAAATAAATACAATAAAAATTTTATGTGAAACTAGTGGGCATTTCCAAAAGCAGGCAGCAACAGAACCAATAATTTATTTGTTTGGTGGCTAATTTACCCAAAAGAAGCCATGTTCAAGTATTTAGTACTTTACATGATAAGTTGATAAGTCCTTTACTTTTTACTTATGCACTGGGTCATGAAATATTTAACTATCTGAAGCAATGAAATTTTGGGTTTATCTGATATATATACAGTATATATGCCCAAAAACGTCAAAACCTTGATGTTCATCGTCACAAATATGCAACAAACTGTTACATAAATGCAAGTTATTACACATTCAGTTGGACCTAGGGACCTTTGGCAAGTTGTTTCTCTTACCACTGGAATCTTATAATTGACCATTAACTTTTGTCAGAAATTTGAAATGCACCTAGTTTCTTCTGTGTGCAAAAGCCTAACAATTGCAATTTGGGAACTACTTGAAGAGGCAAAAAGTTTTATTACATTCAGGCATCAAGAGGATAAAATGAACTAAATTCCTCCCTCTTTGTTCACTATCCACTGAGTTATTTCAGTAAATTAATAAAATAATGATCTTGAAACTTTTTAGATGCACCTGTATAAAAGTCATGGGCTGAATAGTCCTACTGTGTATCTGTTTATTCCAGGTATTTTTTTATACCAGCTGCACTCTAATATCCAACAGAGCAGTAAGAAGGAAGACTGACATGCACAGGGATAAAGGAGGTGGCCGACTGGAGGAAATAAAAACTCTCCCATCTTTAGATCATCTCCAAACTGTTTCTTACACCATGTAGTGCTTTCTCAGATAAAGATGTTACTCCATCTTTATGGAGTGAAACAAGATGCACCCTTTTTCTCTTCATATAAATTCTGGTCACTGCTACAGGTCTCTCTCCCCCTGATGTTTACCATCGTACGTCTTAATTCATCTCATGGCTGTTCAGATTGCTCTTTGCATCTGTCTGAAATGTTTTCTGATTCCGTTTGTTCACCTCTGGATTTGTCATTCCTCCCATGTGTCACAGCTTTCCGTTTTGTATTGTTCTGCTGCATCTTTACCATCAGGCTCCTTCATCGACCCATTTCTGCTCCTCTTTTATCAGTCGTCCGCTGGCTTGTTTTTCCTCCCCCCCACCTGACCCTTCTGCTTTCTGTTTATTTCAAACTGCCGGGTTTCCATTGATATTCCAAACTAAGTGTCGGCGCAGAGACAAAAATACACCCTGCTGCAGAAATGTACTGATCTCCATTTTTATTATACTCCTCTCGCTCTCCTATTTCTGGCTCTTCATCTACTTCCAGCATCCCACATCTGGTAACAAACAGTTCAATGCTAACGCTGTCTCAAGCCTCACCGTTCCTTTCTAAAACATCCTTTAATCTGAACTGCTGTCCTGCTTCGGATGTTTTCCCAAACCCTTAGATTAGTTATGCAAGGAAACTGCCTTGCCTTTTTCAGCCATGCAACTTCCACATGATGTTTCCTTACAGCTGTCCCTATTAAAAATACAGAGTCTGCCTCTGGAGTGTTTACAAGATGTATGAGGCTTTTTAGTGAAGGTTTATTTTGATGCAGCTCCTATAATGGAGCCAAAACGAACTCCTGCTCTGTCAGTATACCAGTCATCAGATCAACATTAGAGCTTTTGTTCTTTTATTTAATAAGCTTTCTCTCCGTCTGCGCTTCCTGCAGCCGACAGGATTTAATGAGTTACCTTTGGCAGGCAGATTTGGGTTGCTTGCAAGCATAAATAATAATAATACATGTGATAAACAAGGTTTGAGGAAAAACATGAAGTCAGTAGTTATGATGGTCTTTCAAATAAATTTAAAGAGATCATCTACTCCTCCTGAAGGAATTTAACCCAACAAAACCAATTTTATCATGGACATAAATACCAACACCTTCCATTCAAATACTGCTTAAGCTTAGAGTATGTAAGGCATGAGCTTAATTAAGACATATGTTGGTGAAAGTAATATCAATTATAGTCCTGCAAGCAAATCCAAACTGTTACAGAGAAAAGGTCAATCAAAATGAACCATTTTCAGTATCAGGAGTACAAAGATGAGCAAACCTTTAGAGAGGTGTGGAACATCAGCAAATACCAGACCAAACATTATTCATGTTGATCTTTTTAAGATCAAAGATATTAATTGGCGTGAGAAAAGGTGGAGGAGGACATATTGAAGTTATGGTACATCCAAGTACCAACTCTACAGAGAATACACAGAGGCCCATGTTTGACCTTTAAACATTTTAACCACACTAATTATGCCAACTCTGCTGTTCACTAATGTAAGATGCTTTAAATGTCATTGCTAAATTTATCTGTTTCCTAAAATACTAAAATCCTTTCTCACTGTTGAACACAAATTGATGTAAACTCAGCTCCCAAAATGAATAATTAAGGATCAACAACCAAAAGCAGTCCTAATGATTTTGTGTTTCAGAACATTAAAAATAGATCATAAGGGAATAGACTGTGGGCATTTTCTCATCTGATGTCACTTAAATCAGACGAAAAAGTATCAATGATTTTAAAATCCCTATGATTTATCCTTCTCACACTTCACCAACGTAATCAGCCTCCTCCTGCCTCCTGTTTTGCTCTCTGTTGCCCTTCTCCACAGCATCCCTGGTGCATCATGCATGTTTCATGTCAGTGAATCATCTGTGGTGTCTATATACAGGCATCACATGCTGTGTGCATTTACCTAAAGAGGACCCTCAAGCACCCAGCTCCAATCTGTCAGGTTCAGCTGCTTATCTCTCCACAGCTACAACTTTCAAATTGTGCCTGAATCTATTGATAAGATTTCATTAATGACTCGCTGCGGCACAGAAATGTTGCTTTCAGAGTCATGATGTGTGTCCCTGCGCTTATCAATCTTTGAATGTCATTAATCTTGTGAGTCATCAGCACTGGTTCTTGTCCTTTTTGTGCCACATGTAGTCTATGTGTGGGTTA